TAACTTCCTTACAAAGAATGTTGCAGCTCTTCGTAAATGAAAAATCCGTTTCTGTGCAGCTTTAAAATGTCATTTGATAACTGACATGAAATTAGAATATTGCAAACATATCCTACAAAAATATTGCACCAAAAGTTTTTTTGAGGAGTTTGGCCAACGTATGTAAAATAGGCGGTAATCTTAATGGTTAAAATTGATTTAAGAAAAACTGTTTTAACAGAAAATTTAGGGCACAACAATTGAGTAGATAGCTGTTTACCGAATGAGTTATACAATATATACCAACTTACCTTAGGCTATACTTTCTACATTAGAAAATCTACAAATTCACGTAGACTCAGAATCATATTGTTAAAGGCATTTTCACACACCATAATAATTGTTAATTACCTCCACGGCAGATGGACTGGGCTTTAAGTATTATAGTGTGTATGACGGAACCTGTCTCTTGACCCTAATACCTTAGTCAGTCTCAGGTAGACGAAGGTTCACTGGACAGACCTTAGCCGAGCCTAAGGAACTCTAAATTTTACGAATCGCAGTTTTAAAATAGGAAGAAAAAGTTGGTCCTTAGACGGATACTGAAGGAAAAACTTTTTGAGTAACGAAAAATGTTGCCACAAACCAGTTTTTATTTTTTAGCTGTTCTTGTGTCTGCTACCCTATAGGACGTTTTTGTCTCCGTAAACAAAAATTAAATTCAAATTCTTCTCAGCTAAACCCTAAATGGACTTGGCAGAATTTAGACTTACTCAGTTGATGAAGCGCAGTATCAATATAATGATGGTGGATGTCGCCGGGAAATGTATTACGTGGCGTTGACTATTTGTCAGGACGAGGACCATTTGTCGGAGAGAAGAACACATCCGTTCAAACACTTCCATTAAATTAACCAATGTCAGCAAAACAGACGAAATGTTTAAGTTCAAACGGGTCCCATTGACTAAAACTGAGTTCAGTAAAAATGTTGTTTTCGTGCAGCCGTTTTTATTGCATGCGTCTAAAGTAGCATTTTTACTCTGTAGGGAGTAAAAAGCGTTTTTAGACCCTAGGGAGTAAAAATCAGCTGTTGTAAACTCAGTTTTAAATTTAGATTAGAAACAATCAAATGTATCAATTTTAGTTGATTGTTGCCTTATTGTAAATACTCGTAGTTCAACATATCGATACCTGAATGTACACTAACACAATCGTAATAGACGAAAATTTTGAATCACTTACTAAACAGCTGCTCGTTTTCATTTAATTAAATAGAAAACAAGCTTAAAGTAGTTTCGGAGTTTAAATAAAAATTATTTAAGTTTTGTAACAAAGTTTGTTTAAATAAAGGTGCATATGAACACACAGAGTTAATCACACGGGCAAAAAATGTCTTTATAACATCATCGAAAAAAGTCACTGTAGGTAGGGGGGTAAAAAATCCCTCGGAGAATTTTTTAAAAATTCAACCATAATGAAAGGTCATATGAATTATTACGGTTAAATAAACAGAAGGGTTGAATTTTAAGTATGCTAACCACATAAAATGTAGAGCGAAAAATTAATCGATGCACGGTGCGGAACACTGTATTATCGCTGCGTCTGCACTCATCGTTTAATGCATCTGTTCTGTATTGCAATTATTGCAGTTTCCTCCAATGTCTCGTTAATCGATTGCCATTAGACCTGAAAGCCTCGCGTGTAATTAGAATACATTTTACTGCATAAAAATTAATAATGTATTCAATGAATAGAATAAACATGGTGATAATCCAGGATTTTGATTTTTTTTTTTAGGAAACTGCCTAAAATGAACTACAAGCTCGCATATTGAGAATTTGTAAAAAGGTTTCTTCGATACAAACAATGTGTAATTAAATTTAAAAAAAATTCGAAGAAAATTGTTGAAACGAAAACTGTCTGCAATGAATGAACTAAAATTATATGTGATGTTTCATGCAAAAGAGTAACTCAAAGTTCAATGCTTATTTCTTCAAAACATTTCAAATTCATTGGTTGAAATTCCGTTTTATTGATAAAACTCAGGACGCCAAATAAATAAGACATGCATTTTGTGGAATAACTTTTGAATGGTAATGTAGTTACTTTCACTTTGATTCTGTTGTCAGAAAACCTCTTTTCTTTTTTATCGTATAGCTATTACTCAATAATTTATTATTTGGAATTAATGTAAATTACATATAATTAAGACACAAAATACAAGATACTATCAATCATCAGTTATCAATCATTTAAGATGGGGAAGCCAATATGTAAGTATTTTAACCCAAATACCTGTGTGTACTTTGCACCTTTGCAATTTCAAACTGTATTTTTGAAACTAATTAAGATCTACCGTTTATGAAATGTTTACAGCTGTACATTATACAACATGGCTTTAAAATACAAAAGCTATATTACAACTTACGTTGAAAAATAATAAGAAAAGTCGTTCGAGTACTTTTACAATTTTAAAAAGAGGCAAATTCTTACTCATTTACATTTTTTACCCCGTAAAGTCGTGATATTTATAATCGTAAACATAAATAATGAACTTAACTAAAAAAAACCTCGGAAGGAGTGTAGAAGATAAGGTAAGAGTTTTAGCTGGGAACATTAAGGGTTGTAAATCTTAAACGTGCGGGCTCGTAGTGTCTTCATTATTACTTTACCTTTTCTCCTCAAATCTTTCAAATTTTCGAGGATTATCCATATGATACGTAGTTTAAAATTCCTATAATTCTTGAGTAAAATGTTTATGGAAGCAGTATTATATTAATAAATTTGTATTACCATAGATTAAAGGAGTACACCTTTAGTGTCATAAAGAGTTACATACAATTTACATAAATAGTACAATTGCCCAATTTTAAAATTTTAAAAGTACAAAAACGACTTTTCTTATCAATGCAACTAGCAATACAGGGTGATTGTTAGTCAGTGTGACAAAATATTTTTTCGTTTAATAACAAAGTAAATGAAGTGAATTGATGCATATAAGAGGTGCCAAGTCAAAAATTGGCTTCCCAAATAATTATTTTAAGTTTTTCAAAACAAACTATAAGCTTAATACAGCAATTTCTCAAATACCTGTTATTTGATTTAAATAGATGATGTCATTTTCGTGTCCTACATTACATTTTTACAGAACAAATGGTGGAGGATCAATAGTAAGAAAACTCCATTGTGAATAGATCCAAAGAAAAAAATTAAGGTCTTTGATGGAAAAAAAATAAAAAAACATTGGTCTATCGCATTTTTCTACACTCTGTATACAATAAGGTAGCAAAATGTGTTGAAAACTGCGCCATTTTATAAGCTTTTAGAGGTAACCATATGTTACACTATTGAGGTTTGGATCTGCTTTTGATTGTTTTAGTGGTTTTAATACTAGAAAACAAGGAACCTTTTTACTGTCTTTACTGTTCAAACTGAAACAAAATAAAAGTTTCACTTAATACATGCCGACTATCTATGTTTAAAATGTTAAAAACACCATGTTTTGGAGTCAATCACCCTGTATAATTACGTATTTAGTATTATTTATTTAAACGATTTAATAACGTTTGAATCATTTAAGTTGTCGACTTTTATACTAGGAACTATACGAGTTAGTACAAAAGTACGTACTTGGGAGATTTTAGTACGTAGAAAAGTCACAAACAAGCTGAAACATAAATGGTCCCAAAATGAGCGCATAAACTTGAAAATACACATGATTTATGGCGGGAAGAATTTTAAATATCCAATTTTAAATCTTAACATTGTTACAAGCTAAGCAGGAGCTCATAAAAGTCAACCAGTTACACAATATACAATAAATCATATCGACGAATAGTCACAAAATGGAAGTGGGAGTACAAACAAGCTTTGTTACATAAACTGCTTAAAAGTGCAGAGCAACTTATGTATCTGGACTTGGCACGTTCTAGAAAAAATATATTTGCTTCTAAATTGATTTACTCATTATTTTAATTAGTTTTGCTTTGGAAAAAAAATTTAAAATTTACTTTAATGCAGTAGAAATATTTTTTCGCTAATGTCTCATAAATAATTAACACATTTTGAACAAATTCTGAAATGTTAACCATTCTTACCTAGTTAAGAAACTCTTTTTAAACAGATAAAGAATCTAGTGAAAAACTAAGACGCAAAATCAAAATGTTAGAAGTTAACATGGAAGAAATGCCAACGAAAATCCTTGATAGAAAGTTAAGTAAACTGGGTGTTTCTTCTTCAACTAATTAAAGGTAATTGAAGTCACTTATACACCAAACAATTATTATTTACACAAAAAGTCGGTAAAATACTAAGCAAATTAAATATACAATTGTTAGTTCTAGTTAAAATGATAGATAAAAAACACAGAAAAAATAAAATCTTAACAGAATATTAAACATTATCGATTACCATTGACTTTAGATACAACAAGTGTACTTTCAATCGCGATTTAAAAATCTGAAGCTTGTTTGTATTTGTGCTTAATTTCGGAAACGACTAAATAAGTTTCTTAAATTTAAATGTAAGCAAATGCACTTAACTATTTTGGTAATATAATCTCTAGCGTGTAATATACAATTGTCCTTCTTTTGGGACGTAGTATTTTAAAAATAAAAAAACAATGCAACAAAGCTCTACAGAACACAAACATACCATAATGTCTCAAAAGAGACAATGCTAGAAAGCTGATTTTTACTTGTAAATGTTAAGGAAAGTGTGGACCTTTTCCGTTAATTCACTACCACTAATTAGTATATTAGGTAACATTAGGTTAGGTTAGGTTATAGGGAAAGGTTAGGTTAGGTAAGGTTAGGTTTGGTTAGGTTAGGTTAGGTTAGGTTAGGACTATATTTACGGACATTTTCCAGCCATAACCTAACGTAATATTCTAATTTCTGGTAGTGAATTAACAGAAAAGGTCCGAAAGTGTGTTTAATCTTTGACTAAGCATAGTTTATTTAAACACTTGATGTCTATAAAAAATTACAAATAGAAGGGATAGATTGAAAAAAAAAACTTACACGTATTCTACGCATTGCGGCGACGATTTCCACTCTACTTGTAGGCCTGGGCACGTCTAGGGTACCGATGTACTGAAACAGAAAGTCAAGTTGTACATAAAACATAATAATCTACAGAATATATCATTTGAATATTTTAAATATTGGACCTTTTCCGTTAATTCACTACTTTAGACTTTAGAGGAATACATTATTAGCAATATAAAAGGTAGTGAATTAAACTTTGGTTAGGTTAGGTTAGTATAGAGTTTAGGTAAGAGTTAGAAAAACCTAACCTAACCTAACCTCATTCCACTAGTGGTACTGAAATAATGTAAAAAGTACTAAATTTTACCTAATAAGCTAGACCAATTAATTAGTAGTAAAGATTTATCCATAAGATCTAACTTCTGTATTAACAAACTTAATTAACATTGACATGATACCAATGTTATTTTTTAAGTGGTTCTAATGAAATGCATAAAACATTTGTGAAACATTTATCCAATACAAAACGATTTATCATTTGGCACGAATTGACTTAAACAAACAAACAAATTATAAAATGGATCACCTATGTTTTATTAATTTATAATTTTATAAGTAAAAAAAGTAAGCAAATGAATAGAAAAACTTGGCAAGCACTTGCTCGTATGAGATTCAATGCAATTTACAAAATGGTTTCCTTTTCCGTGCAAGATCACTTGTTCATGTTAACAAATGAAACATTTCACGCTGTCTGTCAGATGTCATTTAAGTTTTTCATCTGAAAATGGAGACTTGTTGTAGGTATAAAATAAAATCCTGTATGTCTTAAATTAATTTTTGAATTTAAATTCATAAATAACACTTTGGTGTAAATTAAAAATTTGTGAATATATTGCAAGTATTTTAACGATTCGTAACTATTACATTTTATCTCTTATAAATTATTATTGTAATAATTTTCACAGTGGTTTTGGTTTCCAAATTTCATTTATTAAGTTTCAATACTATTATATTAATACACCACGTGGAAAATATAGATGTTCTGGTAAATCTGGTGATAAAAAAATTCTAAAAATGAAACTAAATTTGCTCCATTTAAAAATTAAAATAAGTAAATTTTTAATCCTACAACAACAACACATTTTAGAGAGATAAGTTTGTATTTTGTTTATAAAATGAAAATGGATGACTTTATAAGTTAGCCACGGAAGTTGAATCTTCGAGTCAAAACAATGATTAACGACTTAACGCGAAGTAACCACGAAGGCGGCGCAAACATAGATAAATCTTTGTAGAAAACTGGGGAAAGACGCCGGCGACCACCTGACTTATCACTAGGGCTGCGTCTGTAGGGAGCTTTTAGGGATCACTTTGTACAGTCAAAAATATATCAACTTTAACATTTCATTCTTAAATAATTGTTTTACCAAGTTTGCGATGGATGCAATTCTTAGGATATGTGACGGGGTATTTACTAGTTTTTCCGAGTTGAGGTAGAAACATTAAGTTATTGCGGTTTCTGATTTTTTTTAAACACTTGTAAAATAAGGTATGACTTAAAGTAGGATTTTCATACAAACCCAAGGTTGTGAAAAGAAACAAACTGTCTTCGAACATAGGAAGAATGTTTGTAATTTTAAAACTATAATTCAATCAAAGACAACTTTCCCTAGCAGTTTTTTTACACAATTAATTGTACGCCACAAGACAACACGTTTGACAATTGTCACACGAAATCTATGAAATCAAAATTTAACCAAAAACAGCTTACATAAGTGTGTTTATCAATAGAAAACTAGGGTATGAGATCGTCCATAAAAAATCTGATTTTTAATTTTTATTACTAAAAATACACAAGACACTAACATTGTATATTGAACTTAATAAAACACAAAAACAGTATAACTATTCCTTTGGGGTAACTGAACAGGTTGAAAATTGAAAATAAAACATAACACTGGGAAATTGAAGATACAAGTATTTTAGTATTCGATAAACGGTGTATAAACGATGAAAGATGTTTCATGTCAAAACTGTTGTCAAGTTTAAAGTATCTTCTGAGAAAAGTTTAAACGATCAAACTTGACAAGAGTAAGATCCTTTTAAAGAATATGCTTTTTGTTGGCTTCATTGTGTTTATACTAGAACATAGAACATACACATAATAAGAAAAGATGGGTTTTAATGTGTTAAAAGTGATGTGTGGTGGGTAAAAAGGGTTAAATTACACCTCCATTTATTACTTATCAACTAATCATGCCTTATAAAAATATTCTCATTATATTTTTTTTTTAGAAATATTTATTGTTTTTCCATGCAACAACAAACACAAAAATACACACATGAAAAAAAAAAAAAAAAAAAACAATAACCACCTTAGGTTAAAAACCTATGTTGGTGGATTTTACATTTAAATTAAATTAAATACATTTAAATTAAATTAATTACCAAGGTACAAAACTGAGTTATTTAATCAGTATGGTGCGTACTTCGCAGTGTCTTCTAACTGTAATAAACATTTGCATATTTTTATGATTTTATATTGTATATATTGTATGAGGTAAGCTGGTCTAGTGGTAGAGCGCGGGCTTCGGTGCCCGAGGTCCCAGGTTCAAATCCCACAATTCACCAATGGATTTTATATATGCTAACGCTGCAACCCAATAGGTCTAGCCTGATGTTGTATGTAAAACAGATTCTTGCTAGAACTACCGTCCTAGGATGTGAAGGTAGGATATAAAAAAGTAAAATAAAAAATTATGTTAAATTGTATTCAAATACTTCGTTTGATCAGAAAACTATTCAAATCTGAACGTACAATTAGTTTTGCCAATTTTCTAGCACGAATGCAATTTTGATTACTGATTTGATTGGTTGCATTTGAAGTACAAAGGAACTTTAAAAGCAATTAGGCTGAGTCCCCGGAATTACTTGAGTACTCGATATTTATTCCGGGTGTACCACGAAAGTGTAGCTATTTTTGATTTGATGTACCACACGTTTCGAACACATAATTCGTTTAAAAAAAAAAAAAACAGTTTTATTTGGTTCTGATTATCAATTTTACAGCGACATTCCCGGCGAATTGCAAATCGTTTTACGGTTAACATAATTCAGACTCAAAGGTTTTTAAAGGTAGACAAAAATAATCACAGTGAAATTGTTACATCAAATAACAAATAAATATAAATTAGGAAGAATCTTACCGTGTATTTTTACTTTACATAACAAGGGAAACAAAGGTTCGGCAACATATCCCAGTGATATTTTTAAACATGTAACCCATGTAAGATGCGAGTGTGTCGATATCAGTGACACCTCATCAACATGTAGACGGTTAGTTGTCATGCAGCCCGTTGTGCTGAGCATTGCGGATGTCCGATACGTGACAATACAAATAGAACTTGAGTCGCCATGTAGCATACGAGAATCAAAATATTCTTGGTTCGTTCGAATTTATAATCGTCGATATGTAAATATTAGAGTTAAAAATACTTGTATCATCGTAACGTACATTTTCAGTATCGGTGCTTATTTCTTCATAATACAAAAAGTGGGTAGACATCGTAGATTACTTCTTACTTTATAAATTACGGTACAACATTAATAAAAAACAGAACATAACAAAAACCATGAGTATTACCTTTTTCATAGCTAACATTTCAAAAAACGTTTAAGGTCCAACTGGGAAAACACATTCATTAGCACTAAAATTAGCACAAAATAACAATTTAGTCAAATTAATTGAAAGTTTTTTTCTGCCAAGAAAAATTTGTTTAGCCAAATTTAAAGTAAATTCCGTTAAAGTTAAAGGCAAATTTAGATAGTAAATTCTTAAAAAAAAACTATTCAAATTCCGTTTTTGCAATGCCGTCAATTCGAAAATGATAAATTTATTCAAAAGGATACTTAAACCCAAATATCTTTGTTGCAATTCGATGTCACTGTGGCTTTGTAAAACAAATAGAAGCGCTATTAGTGAAGTATTTCCCTGACATTTGGATTAAGAGAGGTAACAAAAATCCCTTCGGGATGAATTCGTTCCTTTGATATCAGTGGTATTGCTGTCGTCAAACGATATGCATTTCACAATCCAAACAAACCACTAAAGTTATATTTCTAGTTTAAAATGTTTTGTTTTTTTTATATAAGATAATATTGCATTAGTACAATTATCTATAAAATATTTATTCTTTGCAAAACTTATAAGTAGGCTTGGATATCACAAATCATTTAATTATATAATGTATGTAGCTTTGCGTATGAACTAAACTTCCAAATATAGTAGAAACACGTTTTATTAAACACGTTTTATTATAAAAATTACTATTAAAGTTTTCAAAATCGTGCGAGAAGATGCAAAATTGTTTAATCAGAATGAAGTTGCGTGTTTACTTAAAATAATTATTTTATACTACTTAAAGTAACTATAACGTTTACAGTTATTTATACATCACTAAACTCTGTCACATGGTAAGAGTAGTAACCATGATTTCATAGTAACAAATGATGCTCTTCATATCATTTGTCAAACGTTGACAGATGAATGTAGATAGAGCTTCATCTGGTGAGTGTTCTGTATAACGATTTATGCAACCGAGATTTGAAATATTAGTTTGCATAAATATAAAAGAACTAAACCATACCATTAGTATAACCAGTAATATGTCTCCTTCTAGTAATATGTAGCACTAGGGTAGTTTATGTTGTCGTTGTTAATGGCCAAACGTTTAATATTCAAACGTAAATATTTAATTTGTATTTAACTTATTAAAAACCCTGAAAACATTTTAAACAACTAATTTTCAATTCATTACATTTATACGTTTTCAAGTATGAGCGAACTGGTCAAGTGGTTGAGCACGGGGATTCGGTTCCTAAGGTCCCGGGTTCAAATCTCCCCAATCACCGACGGATTTCATCTGAGTAATAATGTAACAACCCTTGATCCTGGTCTGAAGTTTCGTTAAAAACCATCCTAGTCTAGAGCCATTGACATTATACTAGAGCCTAGTGCCCTTGGAAAGAAACAACTTATACATGTTTCTAGACGTTTTTTTTATTCCTTCCCTTATGATTACTAGGACGTTATATCCTAATTAATA